AAATGTGTGTAGAAACACTGAAAATGAACAAAAAAGCGCCAAAAAAGAAATAGAAGAAAGTCAAATTCTATAAAAATACCATCCACAAATACAAAAAAATTGAAAAAATAGGCCGGACATTAAAGTCAAAACCAGAAAAAAAAATTGCCTACTAATTGAATAAAATGGAGAACAGGGATTGTAAATAGCAACCAAACAATTTTAAAAACTATCAAAAAACAAAGACCTGGAAATTGAAATAGAAAAAAAATGTGGAATTGAAAACAAAGAATAATACCAGTGGTAATAGGTGCACTTGGAATTATAAAAATGGACAAAACAACATTGAAAAAATCCCTGAAACCCCAGTTGTCAGAGACACGTTGAAAATCATTTTATAAAGTACAGAAGACACACTAAGGAGAACTTTGTCTATGTAACGCTAGTGATCGGAGATAAAAAAAAAAAAAAAAAAAAAAAATTAACATGAAATTAAATAATAATAACCACGACCTAGTTAAGTCTTTCCGCAGACTTGTAATAATAATAATAGTAATAATAATAATGATGATATAATAATAATAATAATAATAATAATCCAGAAACAATTGATCATCTTGCATAAGGTTGCACGATATTGGCACCCACTGAGTATAAAACCTGGCATGACAGAGTTGGCCAATATCTGCACTGGAAAATATGCAACTTCTACGGGAAGGAAACTGGTATGAACACCACTCAAACCCGGTTACGGAGATAGGACCTGTTACAATTCTATGGGACTAAACAATACATACTGACAGAACAATCAAAGCCAACCGCTCAGATATTGTTATTAAAGACCACAAAAAAAAAAAAAAAAATTGCCTCCTTATTGATATGGCAGTCCCTGCTGACTGCAATGTATCTTTGAAGATATTCAAAAAGCTGTCAAAATACAAGGACCTTGAAATCGAAATCTCAAAAATGTGGCACATGGGAACATCAACAATCTGTTGTAGTTGGAGCCCTAGGATTGGTTGGAAAAGATTCTAGTAGACTAATTAAAGGGATTCCTGGAAGTCTATGCCTCAAAGAGATACAACAAATTGAAAGGGCTTTATCTATGTAAATTTTTTTTTGGTCAGTGGAAAGTGTCATGATGCCATTTCTAACCTTAGGTCCCTGTGCCGGACCCGGAAAGAAATGTGTAAACGCCAGAAATCAAAGGAAGTTTGTTCCTAACGATTGTGATCTTAATTGATTGGCAGTGTTAAATGGTACATGTTTTATCTTGCTAAATTAACATGGGTGACAATGATTTTACCGCTGAATAATTCCGATTCGCCTGTTAGTTGACTGAGAAAAGGTAAGGAAAATAAAGAGAGGGCTGAAAATGAAAAAGAGAAAAAAAGGATAAGGAAATAAAGAGAGGGTGAAAATGTAAAAGAGAAAAATATAAAAAGAAATAAAGAAAAGAAAAAAACAAAAAAAAGAAAAAAAGTAAAGAAAAAGAAAAAAATGAAAGTGAAAATGAAAAAGAGAAAAAGGTAAAAGAAAAAAGAGAGGGTGAAAATGAAAAAAGAAAAAAGGCAAACAAATAAAGAGGGATGAAAATGTAAAAGAGAAAAAGTAAAAGGAAATAAAGAGAGGGGTGAAAATGTAAAAGAGAAAAGGTAAAGGAAATAAAGAGAGGGTGAAAATGTAAAAGAGAAAAAGGTAAGGGAAATAAAGAGAGGGTGAAAATGTAAAAGAGAAAAAGGTAAGGGAAATAAAGAGAGGGTGAAAATGTAAAAGAGAAAAAGGTAAAGGAAATAAAGAGAGGGTGAAAATGAAAAAGAGAAAAAGGTAAGGGAAATAAAGAGAGGGTGAAAATGAAAAAGAAAAAAAAAGGTAAAGGAAATAAAGAGAGGGTGAAAATGTAAAAGAGAAAAGGTAAAGGAAATAAAGAGAGGGTGAAAATGAAAAAGAGAAAAAGGTAAGGGAAATAAAGAGAGGGTGAAAATGAAAAAGAGAAAAAGGTAAGGGAAATAAAGAGAGGGTGAAAATGAAAAAGAGAAAAAGGTAAGGGAAATAAAGAGAGGGTGAAAATGAAAAAGAGAAAAGGTAAAGGAAATAAAGAGAGGGTGAAAATGAAAAAGAGAAAAGGTAAAGGGAAATAAAGAGAGGGTGAAAATGTAAAAGAGAAAAAGGTAAGGGAAATAAAGAGAGGGTGAAAATAAAAAAGAGAAAAAAAGAGTAAGGGAAAATAAAGAGAGGGTGAAAATGTAAAAGAGAAAAAGGTAAGGGAAATAAAGAGAGGGTGAAAATGTAAAAGAGAAAAAGGTAAGGAAATAAAGAGAGGGTGAAAATGAAAAAGAGAAAAAGGTAAAGGAAATAAAGAGAGGGTGAAAATGAAAAAGAGAAAAAGGTAAGGGAAATAAAGAGAGGGTGAAAATGAAAAAGAGAAAAAGGTAAGGGAAATAAAGAGGGTGAAAATGAAAAGAGAAAAAGGTAAGGGAAATAAAGAGAGGGTGAAAATGAAAAAGAGAAAAAGGTAAAG